CACAGCCACCGCGTGCCCGTGGACGTGGCCTACCGGCGCGGCTACTTCGACGAGGAGATGAACCGCATCCTGGCGGACCCCAGCGACGACACCAAGGGCTTCTTCGACCCCAACACGCACGAGAACCTCACGTACGTGCAGCTGCTGCGCCGCTGCGTGCGCGACCCGGACACCGGGCTCTACATGCTGCAGCTGGCAGGCCGGGGCTCCGCCGTGCACCAGCTGAGCGAGGAGCTGCGCTGTGCCCTGCGGGACGCCCGTGTGACGCCAGGCTCGGGCGCCCTCCAGGGCCAGAGCGTCTCCGTCTGGGAGCTCCTCTTCTACCGCGAGGTGTCCGAGGACCAGCGCCAGGACCTGCTGAGCAGATACCGGGCGGGCACGCTGAGCGTGGAGGAGCTGGGCGCCACCCTCACCTCGCTGCTGGCCCAGGCCCAGGCCGAGGCCGAGGCCGGGAGCCCGCGCCCAGACCCCCGGGAGGCCCTGCGTGCGGCCACCATGGAGGTCAAGGTGGGCCGCCTCCGGGGGCACGCGGTGCCCGTGTGGGACGTGCTGGCGTCCGGCTACGTGAGCGGGGCCGCCCAGGAGGAGCTGCTGGCCGAGTTTGGCTCAGGGACTCTGGCCTTGCCCGCACTGACCCGCCGGCTGACCGCCATCATCGAGGAGGCCGAGGAGGCCCCCGGGACCCGGCCGCAGCTCCAGGACGCCTCGCGCGGCCCGCGGGAGCCAGGGCCAGCCAGGCAAGGGGACGGCGAGTCGGGGCGCTCCCCGGGCCAGGGCGAGGGCCAGGGCGAGACCGAGGAGGCCGCTGCCGCCGCCCCCCGCCAAGAGCAGACCCTGCGTGGTGCCACCATGGAGGTGCAGCGCGGGCAGTTCCAGGGGCGGCCGGTCTCTGTGTGGGATGTCCTCTTCTCCTCGTACCTGAGCGAGGCCCGCCGAGACGAGCTCCTGGCCCAGCACGCGGCCGGCGTCCTGGGCCTGCCCGACCTCGTCGCCGTCCTCACCCGGGTCATCGAGGAGACCGAGGAGCGGCTCAGCAAGGTGTCCTTCCGAGGCCTGAGGCGCCAGGTGTCCGCCTCCGAGCTGCACACGTCTGGGATCCTGGGCTCCGCGACCCTGCGGGACCTGGCCCAGGGCACTAAGTCGCTGCAGGAGGTGACGGAGATGGACTCGGTCAAGCGCTACCTGGAGGGCACCAGCTGCATCGCGGGCGTCCTGGTGCCCGCCAAGGACGAGCCCGGCCGCCAGGAGAAGATGGGCATCTACCAGGCCATGTGGAAGGGCGTGCTGCGGCCCGGCACGGCCC